AAACTTGAGTTTTAAGGGGTGGTCTTTTGAATCTGGCGGGCAGCATACGATGGGCTGCCTACCTAGCAGGCGTGCGTGCCTTCCAAGAAAAAGAAGGCGTAACTCACTTGAAATGGCCCGGCGGCAAGAATTTTCGACTGAGAGATTGAAAGAGAGTGCTGTCGGACCGATCCCAACCATTTCCATCGATTTTCATATTTTCATTTTTGGCAAAGGTGTTTTTAGCGAAAATTGATGGGTCCTGATTTCGACGGAATAGGATCCGAATCGACAGGGGCGAACGAGGGGACCATAAAACTACATTTGGTTCCATCAGAAACCACCCCGGTCCACAGAAACTTGATTCTTAACGGGTATGGTCTCTAGAAACTATATGCGGATTGCCTACTCTAAGGCGAAATATCTAAAAACCACCATGATATTTAGACAGAGCAAGTGAAAGGGAAGTCTGCCCGACCAATCCAAACCCAGCTAATTTCCAAATTGTCAAGATTTTTAAAAGACACTTTTAGTGATAAAAAATATCAAACCTGGATTTTGACAGGGAGCGATTGAAATCGTCAGGGCAAGGCACCGTAAAAACCATCAGAAACTGGCCTTTGATGAACACTAAAGGAAGCTTCTCATAGAGTCTGTACAGAGACGATTGTACCAGCGTTGGTACTTATCATGCCAACTCACCCATTCTTTCAGGTAAAATGACTCCGTAGACTTCTTTGCTCATGTCGAGAACATTTCCGGGCCGTGTTCCTGCAATCATATTAAACGGTACTTTACTCGCTATTTTTTGAATGCTTGCTTTCATATAATTTACTCATACAACACACTATTAAATGCCTCTCGCCCCATATTCTAAATGACCATGGTCTTTCAAATAAATAATTTGGCACTGGACTCAAGTATTAGTGTACGTAACATATCCCTCTGACCAGAACATACTGTATGCTGTGCACATCTCCCAGCTCTCCCAGATACCTTTTCCACAATTATTAGGACAGTAGTGGACAGCTTGCAAATAAGCTGCAACACACATTGATTGTTTAAGGGATTACGATTACATTATAGCTAGAGCTAAAACCCTCAGTTGATTGTGAAAGCCCGCACTCCATGGTAATACATTTTGCTGTTCCACAAGAATAATACAGTGCAAAATATGTGATATATGATAGTACACTTGATAGTTCACCCATTTTGAAAAAGACCTTTAACAGTATTTCGCACACTGCATGTACCCATTTAACACCTTTTCAACAAAGCTTACGGTGAGCATAGTTTACAGAAGGGGCATCATTTAATACTCTGCCTCGAAAAATAACTTACCACTTGTGAGTGTAAGAATGGAGCCTGGAGCACACTAACCTCCTAAAACAACCGGAACGGAACATTTAAATATTCCGGAAACCGCCAAGCACTACTATCCCATGCGATTAATATCAAAAAGCGGCACTGTCTACCCAGAATCTCTTATTAAAATCCTATGATAAATTTGCGTCAGTATTATTCGGTAAGGGGCAGTAGGAGACACCAATTTTCACTGTTTATTTACGTTTCCACGAATGAAGACGCGGCAGGGGCGAG